GGTGGTCTTCTATCTATAGACACATTCCACAACGAGTTGTTCGCTGCTTGGTTACAATTAAAAGCTGTTTTTGGACTAACAAGGAAGTTTCCAGTTCTGAAACTTACAGGATATGCTTAGTATGATGACCTCTTATATGTCAAAAGCTCAAGGAAAATCTGATTTCTCAATTCATGATCCCTTCCATGCTTGTTTTGTCTTATTTTAAATAATTTTAAGTCATCTTGAAGGCCTCAAAATGAAGTTAAAATCTCTGGTCCCCTGATTGAGAACCACTGTTCTATGTGGAAAATGTGAGAGGGAAAAAAGTAGTATTTTTAGAACTTTAAAAGTTCACTGTATAACTGCTTTGGAACAATATTCATGGTGAAAAGCACTATAGAAGTAAGTATGACCAATTAAAAATGTTTATTCAGGTTTATACATTAGAAATATTTTCCAGACAATATTTTATTAATTTGCTTAGTGACAGTAGAGTAACAAAATAAAGGCATATTTTTTCATTATATTATTCATTTATTAAATTATTCTATTAAATTAATGTATTTAGATAAATATAACATAAATGCATATTTATAATTCATATTATTAAATTAATTCATATTATTTAATTGTTATCAAGGCCAGCATGAAATGAAAATTCACCCATCACCCTATTCATCTTATTGTGAACGATTCATCCATGTTTATATTTACTTTTTTTTGACATCATAATTGTTAATTAGCTGGATCTTCCAGTGAAAACAACAGAACCAAGTCCCGTCCTACAATTTATTTTTTATATAACTTGTATTTCATTGTGACTTCAAATAAAATTATTTTTTAAAGTGTATCCCTCGTGATTGCCACTGGATTGCCCAAAGGCTGAGGCCTGGTGCAGCCGCTGATACTTTTGGCCATAAAAGAGGATTTCAGAGCCACTGAAGCAGATCAGTGTCTTCGTGGACTGCATTATTTCTCAAGATTTTGAAGAGGACATCATTAGCACATTTATTATCACGAAGGGCACAGAAGGCAGTGTGCTTTCTGTACCAGCCCAGTAAATTCAGTCTCTCTCCGCCAATGTGCTTTTACACTTTTATCATGAGGTACTCTTACCTGATTAGTCACGGTCTGCTTTGGGCCATGTTGGTTCACTGCGACAGGATTATGAACCATATTACAGATCCTGCGTCACCTGTGTCTAATCAATGACTTGTACAGCTCCATTTCTCACAATAACTACCTTTGACCTTCCTCCATTTCTGCTTGTATTTACCTTCTCACTATAGCACTGCAAGTCTGACTCAAGAACGTCTGCTCAAACCTCTTCTCATCTTTTCAATTGTGTATGCATTATATTTACACAGTCTGTGTGTAGTTACATTTGCTGAAGGCATTTACAAGTTCTGATTAGTTTGGAAATTGAACAAAACAAATTACTAAAACACTTCAACATACCCTCCAGTGAAAAATAACTCTTGTTCTGGACTGTTACATTATTTCACCATATAGAGAGATAGAGTACATTCAGTTGCCAGATGGGATTTTATGTGGTTGCTTCCTTTCATTAAAATGCATCACTCATGACTCCAGAACTTGATTAGTCATTCGCAAAGATGTGTTTGTGCTGAAAGGGTCATTTTCTGCTAGCTCGTGCTTTCACCGTGTTTAGGAAAACAGCATTGTTGTGATGATGTTCATGAGTTTTCTAATACAAGAAGCAGAGAAACACAAAAATGCATAATGCAATAGAGTGCAACAGGAAGGTTAAGGAAGTAAAAATCCCTTTCACTTTCTTCATAAAGAAACAATAATGTATAAAGCTTTCAAAACTGACTCACCACAAGCTCCAAAATTATTGAATTAAATATTCACTTGAGATATGCCCTAAGCTCTATAATTTTCCTCATAAATACAGTGAATACGCTTCCAGTCTCCCTACACTCTCAAACTACTTATATATTTGCATTTAACTGAATATTTTCCAATAAACTCATTGCAATAATCCCTCATAAAAGTGATTTTTTTTTTTTGTATGGTTGTGGGTTTATTTTTTATTTTATTTTAAATTTCAAATCAAAGTTTGCATGTTGTGAGTCCTCACACAACGTGTTTATGGTTTGGTTCATGACATGAACACATTTATTTTTGAAATCCCTATGGTGAAAAATAAAAAAAACAAGGCCACTGGAAAAAGTGGGCAGCTGCTGTTGCGTTCGATAAGGAGAACATAACACGAAAAGTTTTCTAGTAAACATATAGGCTACTGTACCTGCTGAAGTTCTGCTTTTTCAATTTGAGCTTTGCTACAGTAAGGTACAAACTTTCATATGCAAGCACTCAAACAAGCACTGTCCTCTTCTCAAATAAGATATGAACACATTGTCGAGGGAATGTATAGTCTTCAATTAATTTTAACCAACAATCTGTGATGGCGACATTTATAGGCACAGCATGATTACTGCACATCTGCTGAAGCCTGTAATAATTTATTCATTTAAGGTCAAATGCAACACGCCTGGCGGCCATAGATTGAGTCTGTTGTGATTTATCGGGGCAGTAAAAGACAGTTGAGGGGGAAAAAGAGAAGATTTTGGGGAGAGCAGCTGACTCATTTGCATTCAGTCCATCTCACTGAAAAAGCCACGGGGGAAAGAGAGTCAAATGGTAGAATGAAGGAGGCTGTCTGCCCACCTTTGGTCACCCACAGCAACGGAAATCTTTTTTATTGCGGTCACATACAGTACAGTCACATGTGACTCATGGGATTGAAATGAGAAACCTTCAGACAGAGATGAATGAAGTGATTATGGTGATGCTTTTGTTCAGGGTGGAGATTGAATATGTGCCACACTCCCTGAGAAGATTTCTGCCACTTGTAGTTTTAACCCTGTAAAGCTTGTAGTGAAATATGTTTATTGAACATGTATACAAAATATATAAGAAAAAAAAAAAAGAAAAAAAGTTTGCATATGTGGTAGGCCTATTATATTTGCAGTGCTGGTAGTAACTGTACATGCTCAGACAATACAGTTACTTTTCTAATGATTTCATGTTATTTCCATGATGGTAGTAAATTATTCATAATTCTTTGTTATATTTTACATTTTCTTTTCTATAAAAGACTACTGCTTATATACGTTCCAAAGATCTTCCAGGTTTGTGGAATTGCACACACAGACCAGCCACTAGTCATGTGAATATCACTGAACACTGCGACCCACACAGCATTTGACCACTGGATTTACAGAAATCATCTCACTTTAAGAAGTGTTTTCTCAACATCGCAACAGTGCATATCAAATCAGCTCCTGACGTACACATGAATTATTATTTGAATAATCACTCGGTAAGTCATTTAACAATGTATTTCTGTCTTTGGAAGGCTTTTGAATTTCAAACACATTAAAAATGGACAAATTCACATAATTTCATAATGCAATGCAGCCAGGGATTCCCCAACTTTTGTGTCAGCTGAATCTCTTTGACTTAATTTACTTTACCTACATTTTAAATTAATAAGTTAGGTCAATAATAAAATTAAGTCAATAATAATAAAATTAAATTCATGGTTCTCTGATATCGGATAATGGTCACATGACATGCAGGTAAACATTAATCTTTTTTAGGAAATGTTTTGATTTGTTTAAAATTATTTATTTTAATCTTCATTTTTATTATTATTTAATACTTATACTCATTAAACTAAAGAACCCCCTAGTACATTGATGTAATGTATTTAATGAACTTCATGTTGTTGATAAAGTATGGAATATATTTTATTTGTATTTTATATCAATATGGTACGAGATTATCTTATTCAAATCAATGTAATAAACAAGTTAGGTCAAAAATAATCTAAAAAGATCTTTTTCATTGAGGGCAAATTATTTAGAGCTTGTTGCTTTTGAATACAAAATATTTTCATCACTTTTGTCTGGCATGGTATAACGATAATCTGACTCAATTTGGTGAACTTTGGACCAAATTTACCACCATTATAGGTGGAGTGTTATTGCAATTATAGCATTTTGCAGTAGGCCTACATTATACAATAGCTACTACATCTCCTTTGCTTACAGTAAAACCAGGGTTTGAAATTCACTTTTTCACCCACCGACCAATGTGGCTACTTCATTTTTAAGATACCCCGGCCATTCAGAACTTCTACTAGCCAAAAAAAGAGAGAGAAATTAACCAGATTAACTGCGTCACAGTTTATATTAAAATTTTGATTTCATACATTCATTTCTTATTCAAACTAAATCCTGTCATCCAGCAATATCCACCCTTCCTCAATCATTCAAATGTATACAGTACAAAGAACATGTAGGATGTTGGAAAATAGCAATGTCTTTTCTGTTAACCGCCGTTATTTGTTGCTAGTGACGTGTACGTTCAAGTAAACCAGAAATGCGCTGTATTTAATAGATCAAGATGACTCGAGTAATCCATCCGTGCATATTTGGTTTACACGAACTTCCCCAGCAAAGTGAGTAAACATTGTAACACGCTAAATATGCTAGTGATTTGAGAGCGTTAACGTTACCCACCAAAGTTCATTTTACCCGCATTTGGTGGGTGTTAATTTCAAACCCTGAGTAAGACCTATACTTTGCACTACACCGAAAATATTTCCTAACTAATTTCACTCCTCATCTTCATTAAAACGCTTTTCTTCTTAGAAAATAATATTGTTAACGTGTTTTTAAAGTATATCACTAGGCTCTTGTATGGCAACAACTAAGAAAGTAATTAATGACGAAATAGCGCCCCCTTGTGTGCAATCTCATTAATTTGAGCGGGAAACAGAATAAAAGTCCCATTTAACCACCGTTTAAGTATTTCCTTGAAGCTACCTATAATATTGCCACGTCTTGTTTGTTGCCATCGTATTAAGGTAAATATCCCATGCATTCAAAATACATATAGTTTTCTTTTTTTATTTCTTAAACCTCTAAAATAATCTGACGTACTGACATTTGTAAAGTTTATAGGAAGCCACTCTCGCTGACGTCACTTCCTTATGACAGACTCATTCTGAGATTCGGGACGGACGAGTATATTATACAGGTAATGTATCTTTTAATTCATCAATTATGCATTCAGAGGACTGCAAGCATTTTTTTTTTATCCCTGGCGTCTCTCTTTACAGGCGACTAAATCTATAAAACACGATACAGTATCCGAAAAATCCTAGTAAACATGGTTCCTCAGAAAACCGTAGCCGTCATCCAATTAACTTCCTCTAAAATAAACCCAGCACGCTACAAAAACTGGTATGATTATCTTTTGCTAGTTAAAATGCACCTTATAGATTACTTTAAGCCTATTAGAGGCCTACTGCTGCTGACGCAATTAAACACTGAATCAATTAAACGATAACATACAATCTGTGTGAGAGCCTGCACATGAACACAGATTAACACTCTTACGGTATATTGTAGCGGTCAAAAATGTATTTCTGTCATTTGTGAGTTCTGTCGTCTTTTTTTTTCACAGACATGAAGATGAATTTGTTATTAGCTGTCACTCTGATGTCCATCCCCTTGGCACTTGTGCAGGGAGCTGAAAAGAAAAAGCTGCAGATCGGAATCAAGAAAAGAGTGGACAACTGTCCTATCAAGTCCCGAAAGGGAGACGTGTTGAACATGCACTACACTGTAAGTGTCATACTTCTCTTACCCAAATGTTATTCATCCCCAAAAATGTCTTATTTTAACTTTTTTTTTTTATGTGCAGGGAAAACTGGAGGATGGGACAGAATTTGACAGCAGTATACCGAGGAATCAGCCCTTCACCTTCACTCTTGGCACGGGACAGGTCATCAAGGGCTGGGATCAGGGTTTGTTGGGGTGAGTGAGCAGCAGTACTTCTGCATTTCCAGATCTTCTGAGATCATTTCTCAGTCAGTATTAGGATGTAAAGAGATGAATTTAAGAGTTAGTCTAATAAAGAGGAATTAGCAGATTAGATTTAAGAGGCAGTGTGCAACTGTGTTAAATGTATTAGCATGTGTCGGTGCTGTGGCCTAGTGCTCTGCTAATGAGCTCCAGTTTGACATCCTATTCCCTTTCTCCCTGTGATTACCTGTCATATCTTTGCTATCTCGTTTTATAAAAAGCCCACTTAGCATGTGTCATTCCTTTTCTTTCCTCTTAGGATGTGTGAGGGTGAGAAGAGGAAGCTGGTTATTCCCTCTGAGCTTGGTGAGTATGTTATGGAAAAGTAATATGTCTCATGTGTTTAAAAAAAAAAAAAAAAAAGGAATTGATTTTCAGTCCATATTTTAAACATATATGACTGTTTTATAAACTACAGGTTATGGCGATAGAGGAGCACCGCCTAAAATTCCAGGTAAGATGATGCACAGTCCAATCCAACATTGAGTCTGATATCAAGCACATTAACACTATATTTTTCTACAATAAATAAAAGATTAAAGCTTTACTTGGGCTTAAAAAAAAAATTTGTTTGGTTCCGGTTTCCGACCGACCCTGTCAATTTATGTGCGACCCAAATTTATTTTATGAGCTTGGGGAAGAAATAATAAAAATTAAATAGCCTAAATACACAAATAAAAAACTGAGGCGAACTATAATTTACGTTTTTGTACAGCACGCGATGCAAGATGCCTGTCCTCCAGCAAAACAAACGAGGCAGCTACATGGTCGTTCACACATCGTTCGTCAAACTGAACTATAATACATATACAAGTATTTTTTTTGTCATTAAGGACACTTTTATTCATATACGCACACATACAAATCAAATGCATGCATTCATAGGCACGCACACACCACATTACAGAGTAACCTCCATCCGCCTCCCAAGTTTCATTAAAAATCATCCCAAATCCCAATACCCTCTTCTGCTGTCTACCACTTATTTCGCCATGTATTTGTTCGTTTCTTTTATTATTTTATGCAATCCAAAACGCTCTAACCTGCCGCGCTTCGTATCTCCAGAGCCCGTCTAACTTGTCCGGGACAAATGGATTTTTGAAGGACAAGTAAAAGAGAATTTTACTTGCCCGAACGGACAAGTAGCCTGATTAGAACATCAATAACAAACAAAAAAATAACTAGGGAATCACTAAACCGAGAGAATGATTCTGATTTTATTACATTTATTGTAAGTTGCGATCGATTGTGGATAATAAATGTATTAGCCTGCTGACGGTGAGGTGCGCTGTTGACGCTCGCGCAGCCTCTCGAGGAGAAATCTACACACATGAGCGCAGCACACACACAGGTTAACAACATACTGCCTCTAAAAAATCTAAATGTGGAGTTTCTATATTTTAACATATGTGTTAAGCAGCCTCAATTATTTTTCCTGAATACCATATCACGATTGAAAATGTGACATTGATTTCCTACAACAGTTCAATAAACAGTTAAAATCAAGTCACTTACATTTTAGATGCAATATTGGCTGTTTTTGTTCTGTTGCTGCAGCGAAAATAGTTCCAAACAAAAATCACAGCAGAACCACGGCACAGGAACACTCAACCTGTTTTCATTACTGAATGATTCAGCATTTTGACCGAATCGGTTGAGTCAAAGATTCAATGACCCATTCATTTCATCTGTCTCATTCTTGAATGAATCAACCGTTTAAACGAATCGTTTGAATTAATGAATCAATGACTCACTCATTAATACGGCCGCCTGCCGCCACCTATTGGCAGTTTAGTGTTATGTTTATAAGTAGCCTAGTATACTTCTTTCCGATGTTTCTTATTTGTACATTTAAATCAATTTCATAACATTATTTTATGCAATTGTAATTTTTCAGTGTAAATTATTTAATTTGATCAGCCCTATCTAGGGTAACAGTATGCTTGATCTTTCATTTTAAATTCCTAAATTTGATCAATAAATTCAATTATTTAGAATAAGACGACACTATAGGGCATTTAATAAGATTGGGGGAGGGGATGCCCTTCAAAGGTGCAGATATTACAATATGCCAATTTAAATATCAAAGCTGATTGAACACTGATGAGAACATTGCTTCAGAATAAATACATTTAAAAATTTTAAAAAATCCGGACAAGCAACTTTTTTACTCTGACAAGTGAATGACAGATTTACTTGTTTGGAGGGCAAGCATATGAAAAGGCTTAAGGTCGAGCCCTGAATAATTTCCCTACCTATCCCTTGCTGCTGCCACTAAAAAAAAAAAAAAAAAAAAAAATCCCTACCGACCCATGACCTCAACTGACAACAAACCAGAACCAAACTTTTTTTTTTTTTATGCCTTGTTAGGGATCTATAGCAGGTCATTCGCGATAAAAAAGTACATGCAATACACCAGTTAGATAAAAAGGAAACATGAAGTTAGTTCTGAGAAAATATCTAGCAAATATCCTCACTGATACCACTTTTTTTGTTTGTTTACACAGTAATATTTATATACTTTTAAATGTGGCTGAAGGGCCTCAGCAAACTTTCAAATGAAAATGTTATTATTATTAATACATTAAAAAAAATTGTATTCATAAAATAAAAAAACTAACTTAATTAAAATGCCAAAAGAAATTACATAATTAAACTCTTGCTTCTGTTTATTTCCCACTTTATTTATTTTAAAAAGCTGCTATGTCACAATTATAGCAGAGAATATTTTCAAATATTATCTTTGAAAATTGTGTTGGACAATGGTGGACCACTGTATGTACCACATTCTGAAATCTCTGCTGTTTTCCCTCCCCCTTTTCTGCTGTGTAGGTGGAGCCACACTCATCTTTGAAGTAGAACTGTTGAGCATTGAGAGAAGATCTGACTTATAGTGACAGAGATGTGGGGCTGTCAGTGTAGCAATTTCAGGTGTTAAAGTTAAATTCCTTTTTCAGTTATTAAAGAGGTTACAAAAACAGAATAAGCTCGTAATCACACTTTCAGTATGTTTTTTTGATGTTAACCTTTCTAGAAAAAGAATGAAGTCGACATGTAGCACCATTCTTTATTTGAGAGCCTTACTACATGTATTTGGTTGTGAGAGTGCACACAGTACAGTATTTGCCATTCCAACAAGTTCTAAACAGTTTCTTAAATCGTGTTCACTTGAAATTGAATAAAAGTTTTATTTACAAAAGATATGCGGGCTTTGAGCTTGATTTAGTATTGACCTTGGCCTACACCTCCAAAGCATCTTCATTCATAGCCTTCATCACAATTTGGCATACTCTTCTTTTTTGTAAAGTTAGAAAAAATATCAGATGTAACAAATTGGCAAATTCACTCAATCAGTATTGCTACTCTTCATCCTGAAAGAACTTCAAACTAGTTTTCCTCAGTCAAATGATTTTTAAAAACAGTAGTACTAAGCACAGACCTGTTGTGTGTGTGTGTGTGTGTGTGTGTGTGTGTTTTTTCTTCTTTTTCCTAGAAATGGTAGATTAAAAATGGCTTACAAAAAACACAAGTTCACAATTCTCATCCCCCTCCCTCTTCCCAACTTACATCAACACACCCTAAAATCTGAAACCCTATATCTAAAACTAATATTTTCTGGCCTGCAAAAAATCGTTTCGCCCCTTACGAAAGACAGCAGATGCGAGAGACCGTCAAAAAAGGGGGTAAAAAGAAATCAGCTTTGTTCTAACTTCCTATATGATTACAGACAGACACATCAAGCCAAGTCACGAGGCTGAAAACAAAAAGTGTATTAGTGAACAGTGTAACCGTAACATCAACCATTCGATTCCTTTCCCTAAATCACCACAGGGGTTTTAAGCTAAAGGGACACTACCACACTCTCTACATGTAAGATATGCTGAAACAGTACTAAGACGAAGTAAAAACAGTTGGTCAACCTGCAGCTGAGGTTGGCTTGGCTGGGCTTGTATCATTGATCTCCGTTTGACAGACGCTGTGGTTTAGTGGTTGGGTCTGCATGCCTGCATCTCTCCTCTGGGTTTGGAGTGACAGGTTGTTTTTGTGGTGGGGGGAGGAGCTGACATGACCTCATGGTGTCAGCTCCCCTTTCTTCTGCGGGGTGCTCAGTTTCTGCATCCCGCTGACCTTCTCCAGCAGCGCCGCCACAAAGTCCTGCAGGTGGCCAGAAGGAGAATTATGGTGAGAAAAAGCACATTTCTCTCCAGAGACTCAATGGCTCAGAGAATAACACGACTGCCTGTAACGAAGGTAATTGCTAATGCTATTAATATTCAAAATGGCACTTACATCATTAGGCTTATAACAGTCGACCAGCAGCATCTGAAAAACAAAAATGGAAAGAGCCTTAATGACTTTCAGACTCATCTGCTGTTTTTCCAACTGTGTACCAATGAAACCTTAGGGGGAGATATCTGAAGCGAACGCAATCTAGTACATCTGATTATACCTTCACTCGAATGGCTCTCTCGACATCGCTGGACAGATCCAGAAGCTCATCCACATCTATTTCCAGCTCAGGCACCTCATCTTCCTGCAAAACACAGAACCACTGATGAGAGATGTTAATGGGGGCTCCTGTGAAAAAAAGAGTGAATGTGAATAATTCACAAGAAAGGCGGTCACATCATGAACTTATGGAAGCTTGTTTTAAAGATAATTGCTACTTTTTATCTCACAATTCTGACTTTTTTTCTCACAATTGTGAGTTTACATCTTGCTATTCTGACATTTTCTGACTTGCGAGAAAATAAGTCAGAATTGCAAGATATAAACTCAATTCTGATTTTATAACACGCAATTGCGACTGTATATCACGCAATTCTGACTTTATAACTGGCAATTGTGAGTTTGATTTTTTGACTTGGCTTGAATTATGACTTTTTAACAGCACAGAGGAACAATATCGTTGGAATCACTTTCATAACAATATTTTTCCAGCGGATGAATGATAAAACATGGACAGCCGATCAGAATCCATTCTGCTATAAAGAGCTCAAGCAAGTGACAGATGAGAAAACTGCACCACATGTTAACTCATTGAAACTTTTTTTTTTTTTTTTTTACATTGACCCACGAGGGAAGGATTTGTTACAGAATGTGAGGAGAGGATGAGGGTTAATAATAAACAAAATGATAATGTGCATTGTTGTGGACGCTAATGTAGTTATCGTTCTTGGTGTGAATGAGCCATTACGAGTATTGATTACTCTTTGGTTACTCATCATTTACTATTCAAACTGTTTTGGTTCCAATTGACTTCCATTGTAGTTTTTGTCCATATAATGGAAGTCAATGGGAACTGAAACTGGTAACCAACATTCTTCAAAATATATTCTATGTTTTACAGAAGAAAGAAAGTCCAGGTTTGGAACAAAGGGTGAGTAAACAATGATGAAATTTAATTTTTTTTGGGGGACTATCTCTTTAAGGTACTACTATGAGTCTTTTAGCGATAGATATGAGGACGTTATCCCTTTAAGGAAACTGCCCCAGTAACACTCATTTTTCATCTGGGAACAGAAATGAAGCCATCTCTGGCCTTTGTGCATGACATCCTCTCTGCACAACAGGATGGGTTGATCCTCATGTCCATGTGCGATTTATTGTGTGTGCATATGCTTGTGACAAAAACGATCTCCATTCACTTCCTGTTGGCTTACAAAGACAACACCACCATATCCAAACCATGCTGTGTGGTGTCTTCTTAGACTGAAACACAATAAGTGAATGAAAGCACAACCAGAGCTTCAACCTCTGCTGTGTAAAACTCTGGATTCTTATGTCTTATTGCAGCTAGGTTGCATTCACACTCCTTTCCATCAGGGATTCACTCTCATTTTGCTGTTTCCTGCAGTGCTATTTTGCTCCATTAGTGAGTTTATGTGTGCTGAGGAAGACGTGGGAGGGAAAGTTGCCGTGGAAGGAATTGTCGCAAGTTTTTCTTCAAGTGTATGTGCTGTTGCAGTCATTAAAAATCAGGTCTGTTATGAAACCCTTCACACTGACCCATATTGAAGAGTCGCTCTAGCACACTACAACTGACCAAAGCTTCCCAGTGGTGCTACTCGTAAATTAAAACACTTTCTCTTGCATCTATTACTTAATCACAGTGATCAGCTGGAGGTCAGTGCACCACATTCATTTAACATTTACAGACTAGTGCAGCACTTCAGGAGCCAGTAATAGGCCTTATCATGGTATTCTGTGGCCAAATCAGGACACAATAATGTGGATTACACAGGTCTACTAACACCTTCTTACCTTCTCCTACTAAAGAAGAGTGCATATTGGTGCCTCTTCCATCATTCTCAGTGGGTTTATAAATGTATAGCTGTCATGGAGTTATAATATAGCTATACAATTTTCAGCTTTTATTACAAAAAGTACAAATAAAAATATTAAATCTAATTATCTGTAATTTTATGTGTTGTTGTTCACAGTGGAAATATTGAGTAAAACACTGTCAGGCCAAATCAGGCAAGTAGAAAAAAATATTATTTTACATACTTTTGTATAAGATACCAAGCAACCGATTTGCTACATTCTAATTAAATATACACTACCATTAAAAAGTTTGGGGTCAGTATGTTTTTATTTATTTATTTATTTGTATTGGTTGTCGGTGAAAGAAATTAATACCTTTATTCAGCAAGGACACATTTTATTGAGAGTAAAGACATTTATAATGTTACAATAAATTTTGTTTTTCTTTCTTTATATTCATCAAAGAATCCTAAAAACCCTTTTCAACATTGATAACAATAAGAAATGTTTCTTGAGCAGCAAATCAGCATATCAGAATGATTTCTGAGGGTGACACAGAAGACTGGAGTAGTGATGCTGAAAATTCATCTTTGTCATCACAGGAATAAAATATTACTGTTTTTATTATGTTTAAATAAATACAGCCTTTTAACAAACATTGCAAAATCTTACTGACCCCAAACTTTTGAACAATAGTGTAAATACTTATATATGTTCATTTATTTACTAAGTAGACAAGATCACCCAGCCAGATCAAACACACTTGCATTAAAATAATGTGAGCTCAGTGAAAAAATGTCCAATGTACACCTGACTGTAAAACACAGCCATTATTGGCACAACATTTTCTCAGTGGTGTATGGAGATGATTTGAAAGCCACAGATCTAACCATTAAACAAAAATACATTTGAGCCTACCTTTGTCTGTGTTACACTCAAAAAAGGCCACAATAAAAAAAAAATTTGATTATGTAATTTGTCACTGTGCATCATTATCCTCTTAGGTACAAACATTTTCATCTTCAGTTTTTGCTCAGGGCATTCTAAACATCAACCTAATTGGACCAAACATCGCTGAGACTAGCAATATAATGGACGAGTTCTCCTGTCAGACCACATTAATATATGAATAACCTGTGGGATTCAGATGACATTTCCCAAGTCTAAATATGTGTGCTTCTATTATCCTCTTCCTTATTTATTATATTAATATTATTGTAACTTATAGTATTCTGATATCAGAAACCATTAGTCAGTGGAAACTTATCACCAGAAACGCAGGCTTTCAAACAAATCCAAAGGATTCAGGCTACTCTGTATAGTGTCAGACAGAGACAAAGCGAAATGTGAATTCCCAAAGCCAGATTTTAGCTCAGGATGAGGCCTACCGCTGGGCTGAAAAGCGCATACAGAACAATCTCATTTCAAGAGCTGCCTAGTTTTACACCACATAATCTAGGTCAGTTATATTAGCCCAGGAGGTTAAGTCAAGCTCAAAGTGAAGCATGCTTTGCATGTCTGAACAGATGACATCATCACAATGGCTAGAAGGGTGATCCCAAACATCCCAGGGGGCTGAAAGAAAGACAGAAAACTCATCCTGACCAGTGTCACCTAATGTATGTCCAATAGACATACAAATCCTAATCAGTGATATGTGGGCTTTGAGCATCTGTAGCTTTTTTTTACAGTCTATGATCTGTAGACATAAATATATTGGGATTGGAATCCATGTCTTTGTTAATGCAGCTGGAGCTCCATCCAGATCCGTCACATTAACAAATGAGGCAAGCCCACTTTTCGATGAAATATGAATAGATGCATTATGCATAAAGGAATCATTAGGTGCTCCAATCTTTTTTCCTCGCAGCACCTGTCCAAGAGGCTCACCTTTGTTTTATGGCTTTGTCTGTAGTTCTATAATGCCACGCCCTTCCATGTGTAAATGCAACCATAAAATCAACATCGATTCAAAATAAAGACAAAGAATTGAAAGATGCCATGCTGCTCTTAATAAGCTATCGATTTATTAAAGCAAGGAAACTATCGCGCAAAACGGACATGACAAATGGAGCAAGAGGGATACCGGTTCACGAGGACTGAAAAGAAAGAGCTGTCATTCCTTGCAACAAAGGATTGCACGCGGTCAAAGCAATGACAGTGTTTTTTTGTCCTACCTCGCAGTCGTACAGATTCATTAACTGGCTAACTATCCACTCCTCCAAATTCAGCCGCCTCCTCAATTCTTTTCTGTCATATTTTACGGTCACTCGTCCTTGCTTCTGTGGCACTTCTTCTTCGGTACCGGGAGGTGTTTGAAAATAGACCCGGGGCTGAGGTGTCGTTTCCGGACTCGTTACCGCTGCCATTGTCCCTAATAAAAGAAAGCTGGATTTAAAGGTTTAATCAATTAGAGCGTTAATTCAAAAGACAGAGGTGGTCATGTGCAGCCATTGCAGGTTGCAAAAAAGTGCCGGCTCCCTTTTCTTAAATGGAACAGACCTTTTGGATTGCAAGGAGTCTGCAACGGTAGATGGGGATCAGGCATACAAGGAGCTTAGAAAACAGAAGAATTCATCAGACTAATTGTGTGGACGCGGTTTATCAAAGTCCATCTTCCCCAAATCGCTCCATCAACTGTCACATAAACGCTAGTGGGCGCCTCCAAGTGTCCGCGGTGGAATAGTGATGTCGTGAACGAATCATTCGTTCGAGTCGGATCTTTTCAATAAATCGGTTATAGCGGTTCACTAAAGCAGACTCGCATAAATAGTAATAGCCTATACTATTATGCTGCCTGTCACTGATGCACTGTGATGCAAACGTCATTTGACGGATGGGGTGAGAAGTCCAAGTGGTGCTTTCCAAATTTTACAAATAAAACATAGGCCTACATAGCCTACTGGATGGATGCAGATTGACTGTAGGCTATGACTCGGCAATAAAACACGTTTTTTTTTAAACCAGAGATGCAATTAAAAGTAGGCATGTGCACCTTAAAAAAAGGCATAGCAATATGCAATAGCAATATGCTCTAGATGTGACAGCGCTGATCGGTTTTTGAACCGCTACTTTGAAACGAACTGTTTAAAAGAACCGAATCGCGAAAGAGTTGGACCTCCCATTACTATGAAATACCACCACACAACGTTTCCCTTTGGTCTTAATGCAGGCAATGCCTAATGCTCCAATACATTGATTAATAGTTCATATACATTTTTCATCATTTCAGGCACCAATAGCCTGTTTTTGATAGATATTATAGCCTACTGAAATTGTATTCTCCCCATTTGTCAGGCCACCCCTCTTTCCTGTATGTGGACTATTCCAAATCAAATATCTTGTGCCTGCTCTCTCTCTCTCTCTCTCTCTCTCTCTCTCTCTCTCTCTCTCTCTCTCTCTCTCTCTCTCTCTCTCTCTCTCTCTCTCTCTCTCTCACACACACACACATCGTCAAGTGACTCTGTCTGTCTCTCATTTCATCGTAAAATGTATATTATGCAATTTATTCAACCCTAATTGGTTCATTCACTCCAGTAAATCGCCATCCTTTCTGCATCAGCTGAATCGGAATGGGTCCACTGCCCTCAAGCTATTTCTTTGTCCATTTAGAATGTCCTTTTCCTTTATTATTATTTGATTTGGTTATTCATTACTCTTATTGACATTAATGGGTGCATATTTCTGATAATTTAAAACACCAGATTAACTGTATTTAGGCTATTACAATAGCCTATAAATTATACAATATAAATAGGCCTATTACCATAAGGACACAGTGAAATGTTTTCATCCATATGTTGTAACATCCATTAATTTCCATCCATTTAACTTAACAGAGACTTGATTTTTTCAGAGTTTCATCTCAATATTCTCAATCAGTAATGCAATTCAAAGAATCGAAAAAGTGTATTTTCATAGTATTTGAGTAGGTTACTATTAAAAGGAATACTAAAATTCAAAACACAAATACATTTACAGGAATGTAGCCTACTTACAATGGAAACCAAGAGACAAGATACACGAAAGTGCATCACATATTTTCGGTAAAGCACTTTAATCTTCAGTATTTTCCCAGCTGTTATGTTGTTTAAATCCTAAAGTTTGTTCCAAGTCCATTACTTTCTGGTATCTATGAAGAGATATGCATACAGGTTTACTTTTCACTAGAGTTTAAGGATTTGACATATTCTAATTTGAATACTAGATTAGAATTAGTGCATAGCAAATCATCTCTCTCTCCCTATTTCTCTCTGTCTCTCTCTCTCTCTCTCTCTCTCTGCCTGTGGCCTCGTCAGGAGCATATAGGCTCAACAAGTTTTTTCAGATGTCTCGGTCCTGGGCCAGTCGTTCCAGCTACCCCCACGTGTGGCCCATCCTCCTCAAGTCTGGCTACAGATCACACGACAGGTGTTTCTTGGTCGGCCCTTCTTCCTCAGGAGTGCCAGGGCGGTTGCCTTTGTGATGCTGTCTGCAGGCTTGCAGAGCGTATGTCCAGTCCATCTCCAGCATCTTTGGAGGATGTTATCTTCCACGGGTTGGTGTTTTGTTCGTTACCACAGTCCAGGTGAGGCAGGTGTTGATGAAAAACCTGGATTCTCTTTATGGTAGTGTTGGTGGTTTTCCAGGTCTCAGCTCCATACAGCAAGACAGGCTTCACAGTGGTGTTGAAGACCCTGGTCTTGGTGTTGATGCTGATCTCAGAGGATCGCCAGATGTTCTTCAGTTGGAGGAAAGCTGCTCTCGCTTTGCTGATTCGTGTTCTCATATCCGCATCTGTCCCCACATGCCTGTCAATTATGCTGCCAAGGTAAGAGAAGCTGTCAACTTCCTCTAGCGCCTCCTCTTCAAGCGTGTTGGCCGTTTCTGGCTGTGTTGGTCTTTAGTGCCTTGCTCTTCTCTCTATTGATGTTGAGGCCTAGGCTTGCTAAGGTATCTGTAACGATGCTGGTCTTTTCCTGCATCTGTTGTTGGGTGTGAGAAAGAAAGGCCAGGTCATCAGCAAAGTCGAGATCCTCCAATTGTGTCCATAATGTCCACTGGATGCCGTTTTATTTTGGGCTGTGGATGTCTTCTTACTGACTCAGTCTATTGCCAGCAGGAACAGGAAGGGCAATAGTAAACAGTCTTGCCTCACTCCCATTCATACTAGAGAGTAGTCTGTAATGCCTGGCTCACACTACAGGAGTTTTAAAATCCTAACCGATTGTGAAATCTGGTTGCAGCTCACACTTAAGGAGAATCTTTGCAGATTTTCTTCCCTCAAATCTTAAACATGCTCACACTACAAGATTTGAAAATCGCGGCGCATCACACACTACAAAATGTTATTAAGATTATCGTGCCAGAGGACGTGATCTCACGCAGCAGATCGGAAGCAGAAAAGTGGATGTAAACAAAATATCTGTCCTTCATATCAAGTCATATTCGTGAAAAGGTTGCCGTGACCAAGGAAAGAGAATTAAAAATAAAATAAAAAATCATCCTTTATCTAGGCTATTTCTAATTAATGGCGTCAGCTCTGGTCAATACAATGAATCAATGCCATTGATCTCTATGAAGTGAAGCATCAGCTTCGCGTTGCCCATGCGCCGCATTGCTGCTCAGCTGAGCCTTGTAAAGTGGAGCTCAAAGTTAAAATTAAATATTAATTAACAGCTTGTTTCATTACATCTATATTTGAATGAATCCGCATTTTTTTTTACATTTCCGTTGAATGAACAGTTTAATGACTCACTCAAAGACAGTCCTTTGTCGCCACCTAGTGGCGTAACAATGTAACTGGACTGAGCGAGTGCCGAGTAAATGGTAAAATATAAGCAGAAGCCTTTAGTAAAGAAAGATTCAAGGATCAAAACTAACTGTTATATAACAATGGCCTAAAAAGCTTATTGTCAGGTTTATGTTCTGTTATTATTTTATGTGGCCCCTTATTTGACATTATCTTCTGTTTACTATACTTCGTTTCAATGGGCTTTTTAGTTTCGGTTTCATTACTGAACATGTACTCGTCTTCGTTCCTGCTGACCACAGCATAACACTTATTTATTTAGCAATAAATAAATAAATGAAGATAATACCGCATATCGCGCTGTTGAGTCACTCAAAATTACAACAATGAAAATTCCTTCACCACGACAGCCCTACTTGTTTCTTATTGGCTATTGAGACAGTAGGCTACTGACGTACTGGTAATCACAATCTTGCTCATCCCGATAAATATCAAACATGTTTGATATGATCGGGGCGAGCCCGATTTGTGTGAGAGCAGATCGGGGGGTGCAAGATTCGATCTGTGAACGCCTCACATTACCAGATAATCTGTGCCGAACATCGGAACCGATCAAGGTCCTCGACAAGATTTTTTCTCCGATTCTCGGGAGGGGTAAATCGGGCATAAATCGGCCTAAAACTCCTGTAGTGTGAGCGAGGCTTAAGTTGCCTGCCATGAACTGTCCTGCAGGTTATCCCTTCATAAGAGTTTTTAAATTATGTTTGTGATCTTTTCTGGCACTCCGTGGCATCTCAGTAGCTTCCAGAGGGTCTGTCTATCCACACTGTCAAACGCCTTCTTATAGTCAATGAAGTTGACGTAGAGAGGTGAGTTCCACTCCAGCAACTGCTCCAAGATGATGCGTAATGTTGCAATCTGTTCGGTGCATGACCTGCCCTTGCTAAAAGCTTGTTGGTCTTGCAGTTGAACTCTGTTAAACACTTTTCCTGGGATAGACAGTAATGTTATCCCTTTGTAATTTGAGCAACAACTGAGATCGCCTTTCTTTGGCAGCTTGATGAGGTACCCTTCCTTCCATTCTGTCGGCACTTTCTCCTCTTCCCAGATCTTGTTGAAGGAGCTTTCAGCGCCTCTGCAGGTATACTGTCCGGTCCTGCAGACTTGTCTTTCTGTAACTGTTTGATGGCACTGTGGATTTCTTCCTTCGTAGGTGCACTGCAGACAATTGGTAGGTCACTGGCGGCTGGCGGGATGTCCGGTGGGGATGGGGGAGATGGTTGGTTTAGCAGCTCTTCAAAATGCTCCACCCATCTGTTCTTTTGCCCTTCCTCAACTGGTATCACTCTACCGTCCCTGTCTTTTACTGGTTTCTCTGGCTTGGTGAACTTTCCTGAAAGTTTCTTGATGGTAGACTCGTGTGTTGCCTTAGTGAGCTGCTTCTTCTGTCTCTGTTGCCAGCATCTCTATGTAGTATATGTATCTATGTACACTATATATATATATATATATATATATATATTAGGGCCGGGACTTTAACGCGTTAATTAAGATTAATTAATTACAGACTTTAACGCGTTAATTAATTACACAAAAAATATTAATCGCACTTATTTTTGAACCGCGGAACGTTTCTCACTGGATGAGTTTCGGCGGACCGATTATAATGGCGCACCAACTAGCGTTCATGACGAAGAAGCTGACGAGATCGCTTTGGTTGGCCCCGTGGATGGGAAATTTTCTTATAAAAAATGAACGGATTGAAGCGTCGATAAGAGCATGGTTGTGTGCAAGCTATGCAACAAGGAATTCACTATGCTATTAGTGTAGTGTAGCAATATGCTATTGCTACACTTAATGGCAAAAATTGCACTGGTCTGCTGGACTTGGTTGAACAAAAATAAACAATATTTTGTTGCTTAAGC